TTGTCTTCAATCCTGCTTCTTACCTCTGGAGGGACTTTGCTACAAGCTGAAGCTCTGAACAAAGGACTGATGACTCATCCCAGCAGGGGATGTTCCAGAGACTTGATTTTAACCTGCAGTTTATTCTATCGCTGCTGCAAGCCTGAACCAAGAACTTTGCCATTACTGTATGTAATTGATTCCATTTAACCAATTCTAACTCTCATCTCTATCTTTTTCCTTTTATGAATAAACCTTTCGATTTTAGATTCTAAAGGATCGGCAACAGCGTGATTTGTAGGAAAGATCTGATTTGTATATTGACCTGGGTCTGGAGCTTGGTCCTTTGGGATCGAGAGAACCTTTTTTGGGTATATTGGTTTTCATAACCATTTGTCCCCATAGCGAGTGGCACGGGTGGTAATACTGGGAAACTGGAGTGTCTAAGGAGATTGCTTGTGAGACTTGTGGTTAGCCAGTGGGGTGAGACCGCAGTCCTCTTAGTCTGGCTGGTTTGGTTTGCCTTAGAGGTGGAAAAACCCCCAGCCTTGGGCTGTAACTGCCCTGTTTGAGCAATTTGTCCTGAATTGGCACTCTCGGTTGGATCCCGCCAGAACCGCATTGTCACACCTGGCAAGGCTCAGATGTGGATTGGCATCTTCAAGTTCATTGTTGGCTTAAATGGTTTTTTGATTGGGCACTTAATTTGCACTTTTCTCAAGAAGCTGCCCAAAAGCTTTACTAAGGCTACTTAAAATCAAACCAGTACACAGGCAACATTCATAACTTCGAATACAACAATGACACATGCATACAGATAGGATGAATAGATTCAGTAGATCATAACCTTTACACAGATAGGCTACATGTGCCATGTACCATAAAACATATTCCAGTGATGTCACATATACGTTCATAAGCATATTCCATAAAGCCTTATTGGGGGCACCGTCACAGACAGTATTGCGCCAATAATTGTAACTTTAAATACAAAACTGATCCATGCACCCAGAGAGCAGAATCATAACCAGCAAGCCAGAACCTTGTCATAGACCCCTTATTTGACCCCCTTTGTACAAGTTTTGGTGCCTCTACAGGACCTTGGTTGCAACAATGATCTCTACGGTCCCAGTTCATGTCAGTAACGTCACAGTTCAGCAGCGCAGCTGCTTCCGAATTAAAGCTCCTGGCGCACTGACAGCCTCCCGTGCTCCTGTGCAGGGGCCCAGTGTGTGTGGCCATCACCCACCCCCCCCAGACACAGCTGATGTGCTGCCCGGGTGCTCGAGAGGTGCAGGGCCCAGTGTGTGTGGCCATCACCCACCCCCCCCCAGACACAGCTGATGTGCTGCCCGGGTGCTCGAGAGGGGCAGGGCCCAGTGTGTGTGGCCATCACCCACCCCCCCCAGACACAGCTGATGTGCTGCCCGGGTGCTCGAGAGGTGCAGGGCCCAGTGTGTGTGGCCATCACCCACACACCCCCAGACACAGCTGATGTGCTGCCCAGGTGCTCGAGAGGTGCAGGGCCGTCTGTCTGTGGGGTCCTCAGCACCGGCCCTGCTCCCACCCTGCACTGGGTGCAGCTCTTAGATGGGACGCAGACACCAGGCCTGGGAGCACCATCCCCTCTCAGTCAGTGCTGGCCCCAGTGCAGCAGTAGGAGGCACTGGGCCAAAGAGAGTGAAGGGGGAGGGATAGCTCAGTGGTTTGAGCATCTAAATCCAGGGCCTGCTAAATCCAGGGTTGTGAGCTCAATCCTTGAGGGGGCCACTTAGGGATCTGGGGCAAAAATCAGTACTTGGTCCTGCTAGTGAAGGCAGGGGGCTGGACTCGATGACCTTTCAGGGTCCCTTCCAGTTCTAGGAGATAGGATATCTCCATTAATTTATTTAATTTAAATTTAGGGGCTCAGCAGGGGGCACCGTACTGGAGGGAAAGGGGGGGCAGCTCAACAGGGGGCATCATTCTTGGGGAGTGGACAGGGGCTCAATGGGGGAGTGCTGTGTTTGGGGAGTGGATGGGGGGGTGCCGTGCTCAGGGAGCAGGGTAGGGGGCTCAGCCGGGGGCACCGTACTCAGGGAATGGGGGGATTCAGGGGGGAGGTGCCGTGCCCAGGGAGTGGACGGGGGCCGAGCGGGCGGCGTGGTCCTCAGGGAGCGGGCGGGGTCTCGGGCAGGCTGGAGCATTGCATGCTGGGAGCCTGGCTCAGGAAGTGGACGGGGGCCGAGCGGGCGGCGTGGTGCTCAGGGAGCGGGCGGGGGCTCGGGCAGGCT